CCCTCTATTTACTATGGTGTGGTCTATTTCGTTATGGTACTCTCCTTTGGAAGACACCCACGTCCAGAGCTGTGGGTGGGGCTTCTAGAACTGCGAGATACCATGGATTACCTTGGTCGCCATGAAAAACTCAGATAGCCGCTCACCTTGTTCGTTCCATTTAAATCCGTAAGTCCCAATGTAACCTTTTTTAGACGTCCTTCTTGGTCGAATCTTGGTGTTGAAATCTCCAATGATGAATTTAAAAAATATGGGGTCTTCTCTGTAGAACTTCTCCAAGTCCATATAGAACGCTTCGACTTCTTCTTCGCCATTGTTTGATGTCGGCGCGTAAACGACGGAGATTGTCAAAGCCAGAATTGATCCACGTTTTAACCGCAAACGTCCGATTCGGGTTGTAAGCTGTTCGAATGAATCGATGTTAACGGACGAACTCGTGTTAACGAGTACGCCGACGCCGCCGACTCCTCTACTGTCGCATGTTCCGAGGAACATTTCTTCTCCGGTATCATAGACGGCGTTGAAAGGCTGGCGTCTTCTCGTCTCGGCCAGGCCGATGACGCCTTACCTTATCCCTCTTGCTTGCATGAGCAAGTCTTCTACCGAGGACTCGGATGCAAGTGTACGTGGATTGCCGATACAGATCGTCACATTAGTTTTTCGCGATCCGCGCGGTTTATATTGACTCTGATAATTTTGCGGCCTCTTCGTACTCGTCCTCCCCAACGCTGCAAAATTGGAGGCTCTTTCGGGGTCAGGGAAATGAGGCCCGTTTCTTTTACTGTGTTTAGTGTGCGTGTGTTCGTGGGTATTTTCTCATTTATGCAGGTTGTACTTATTTTATGAGTCATTTCAGCTGATCGCGTACATTAAAGTGAGTGTAGAGCATATGGTAGGTGGCTAGAAATAGCCTTTTATAAATAAGCCCATCCTATACTCTGGGAAAGATTGTCAAGCTACCTGTGAGTGTACTCAGCCTCTACCTCCAAGGCGCAGCATGTTGTGGGTGGGTATCAAATGCTAAACACAGTGAAATGAGCGGGTCTCATAGCCCTGATCTTGAAAGAGCCTCTGGTACATCAGCACTGGGTATGGCGATCACAGAGACGATGGTGAAATCTCGTAGCCATTCTAACCTTCCTAAATCGCAAAGGATTAAGATAGCGATCTGTATCTATAATATACGCACAATTGCACATGAGTTCTCGTTAAAAGTTTTGATCATGCAGACAAGAAGGATAATTACGACTTCAACGGACTGGTTAAGGCGAGAAGACGTCACCCATTCAATGCCGTCTATGACAACGGAGTATAACTGTTTCTCGGAACATGCAAGAAAACTGAAGACAATAGCGTCGGTGTTCTCGTCAACATGAGTTTGGCCATCAACGTTGGCTTAATTTAAAAAACTAACAACACGAATCGAAGGTTTACGATTGAAGGGATATGCTTTGACATTCTTCGTCGTTCACGCATCGAAATCAGGACGTGGAAAAGGCGACGATGAAGGATTCTTGGAGAAATTTTGCAGAAGAGACCACAGACCTGTTCTCCAAGGCTATCACTGGAGATTTTAATGCTAAGAGTGGACTCAGAATAAAATCTTGAGAACATCACAGTATGACCAATGGATACAATAGAACGAGCGAGGTGAGCGAATGACCGAGTTTGCCATGACGACCGAGACCCTTTTTGGTGATACACACCTTCAGATTCCTACTCTCACTCTAAGCTTGGTATGCTCCCAGTGAAGAATGCCATACAGAAATAAACCATATCATAGTAAATCAAAGGTTTTGCCTAAATAATGGAACTGTTATCGCAAAATTCTGCACGAGATCAGACAATCGCCTGCTTATCTTGCACAAAGGAGAAAAACGCGCTAAATTCAAAAAACGAAGTTCGAAATCTTCTACTAACTAGTATTGATTAAGTGCATTATCAGTAAGCTGTTGAAAAGATGTCATTCCCTGTAACATCAAAAAAAAAATGCGATCCATACATTCAGATAAGCACTATGAAATCCGAGAGATCGAAAGCTATAAAGAGACATCTATCGCTAGAAACACTCAAGCTGATACACCACGGTGGAATCCTACAAGCTAAAGGCGACCGCAAGCTAACGTCCGAAATTTCAAAAGAATGCAAACAGGCGATAAAAGAAGATCTTATCTTAGATAAAACAAGGTCTTAAGAAGAGAAGAGCAGCAGCCATGATCAAAGTTGAAGAAGCTGGAAAAGGCATTCCCAAAGCCCACTGAAGCCTTGCTAATTGCAAAGCCAGTATATGTACACTCCGACGGCCAGGCGGAAAACTTACAGTGACTAGAAAGTCAATGGAGAAAATCACTCGCGATTACTATTCAGATCTCTTTAATAGCCGCTCCGTTCCTCACCTCACACGAAGTAGAAGATGATGTATATGTCGTCCCACCGGCTCTCGTTCCGAAATCAAGCTTGCCTTTTTGTCGTTGAAAAATCGAATAACAATTAGCTCGAATATGACAAGATCCCAACACCTGATGAAGCTCCCGTCAATCGTTATCAACAAAATGGCTGGGCCTTCAACACTTTATCTATAAGAATGGAATGCTACTGTACAATGGATGTCTAGCAGAAATGCGTTGTTGTTCAGAAAGTGTGACCTCCACGATATCGAAAACTGTTAACCATTTTGTCTGGTGTCCATCGTCTGTAAACGCCTCAATAAGTTCAACTTGAACAGGATAGAAAGAACACTGGACTGAGGACATCTTTGTGAGCAAGAGCGGTTTCGAGAAGGAATTCGAAATTTGTTCCTTGGTCGAAATCCACAAGAAAAGAAGACTTATTAAAGTAAGTCGGCCGAGAGAAAGGCGAACGAAGGACTCGCATGTGGTGGTGGTGGAACGCCTTAGCACTCGGAAAGTGTAATAGCGCGTGCGTTGCCCACTACAGACACTAGTCCAGAGTTTTGAAATTATCTCAGCATAATTGTGGTCATATTTCACATAACACCCTGTCATTGAAATATAGTAGGCAGTAAACAAAAATTGACGACTCATTAAGGTGTTGCGAGAGCGCAAAGGACCGCTCTGCCTCGCTTCCATTGATTTAAGGAAAACTTTTGACTCAATATTGCCACCGCAGACACCGGTTTTGCGCAGTTTTGCAAATATTTCGACATTATTGCGGTTATATTTCACTTTTGCTTCAGTTGAAATAAAAGCAGTCATGGAAGTCCTAAACGTCGAGGGAGTTTGCACACACTATGTAAAGATTTTTCATGAGCTATGCAAAAATTTTACAATCGTGGTATCTTCATCCTTCAACGATATTAACAATGACGTCAGATTAGCTAGGCAAAGGGCAATATCATCTTACCAAAATCATCTATCGCTGCCATCGGGAACGTAATTGGAACATTGTAATGACAGAATATGAGAGTGGAAGTCGATGGCGGACAACTACACCACCTTGGGGTTGCTGATGATATCGTTCTTAAAAAAACCAAGCATTTGCCACGTGTAACGAATGCTTGCTGACATTGATAACGTCTGTGCAATGACTGGTGTTCGATTAGGTCTAACAAAAATCATGTTCACGAGGAGCGATTTGGTTTCTTATGCCCCAGTCACAATCAGCGGTGCGAATATCTTGGAATGCTCCAGAGTTTAGCAACAGAAAGCGCGCGACTTGGGAAGCATTCAAGAGCATCGAGGGTGTAGTGAAGAGAACGAAGAACACCCAACTCCGTATCCACATTTTCCATTCCACGACAATTCCCGCCCTATGGTATGCGTCAGAGGCCAGGTCGCTACGTAAGCAGGATGAGAAATCGCTCTTCGTTATTAAACTAGCAGTGCAAAAGGCGATGCTATGAGGATTTCGTATTATGAAAGTAAGGGAAGAGAACCAAAACTCGGAACCTCGCCATCGATCAAAAATCAATGACACTTTTCTGTATGGCAAACTTTTGAAGATAAAATGTGCCGGAAACGCAGTGTGTATGAACAAGAATCAATGGATCAGAGCCGTTAGTGACTGATCTTTTCAAGATGTTAGACGTATTGCGGGAAGACCACCGATCCTATAGTCAGAGCTTTCAACAAAAACTATGGAATAAAGATATGATATTCAACGAGTCCCTGGAGCATACAGAACCGGCAGGTGTGCTCTTCAACGCGACAGGGAATGATTAAAGGTGCCCGCTTGAGTAAGTCGACGATCGTTGGGACTACACGTGATGGAGGTGCTAATTAGAATACATATTTCTCTACAGTATTTTTTGGGTTTCTTACCTTTAAATTAGAGAGACCTTCGGGTTGCGTGTGCTTTCGGTTACCATCTGGTTTTGTCATCAGCACATATTCCGGGAAGATCTGGTCGATTTCGTTGTTCCCGGAACTTTGGATAGTTCTGCATGAAAGCTTTCAAGTTTTCACAACAGGCACTCGCTATCCCTGCCAATCAAAGGTATTCCTTGGAAGTCCATTACTAAGTTGCCAACCACAATGGGATGGTGCGATGCTCATCCGGCAGCAGCCAAATCAAATGTCACGTATATATTTGCCGACATCTCAAATTACTGCACTCTGTGAGCCTTATAGTTGTAATAAAGCTTGTTATATAAAAACCCTATTCTGCCAAGTTCTTATTCCTCGATAATATTCTCGAAATTATGCTGTTACAGATCTCTATTTTTCGCAAAATTCTGTTTACTAACACGGAAATTTTTGTTAACAAAGGGAAAATGGGTAGAAATACCTTGTTGGACTTGGTGATGAATGAAAACTTAGAAGAGTTTACCCATTCATTTTTTTGCACGACCCGTCTTTTACATCTGCTGCTCAGATCCTCGCACTTTTTGCATTCGATTCGTTTTCTAGCACCCATCATCCACAAAGGCCTTCTATGTTTTTACATGTGGTTTTTGCTGCTGTTTGAGGATTTCCCTTTCTTCATGAACATCGTTGGGTGCTAGTACAGTCGATTCTCACTGGATTAAAAAGACAGTCGGGCTAGAATGTTTCCACTGGGATTCCAGAGAGTGACTTTTTACAGAACAGACTTGTCCAGTATTAATTTCCGGACTCAGGGGATGACGGGCTTGCTGGGTCGGGGCGGCATCGAGCCAGCAGCATGCTCGTGATGACCAGTGCCACTACTATTGCGCCATCCTCTCTTAGACAATTAATTGCTTACAGGACATTTATTTTGTCAACCATTTCTTTTTCTTCTGTCAGAAATAGTAGAGGGTATTGTATCAACAAAGAAGATTTGTCCCAAAAAATGAACAACAAATGTGAGAGAATTTTCACAAAAAGAAAAGAAGGCCAATGAAATGTTTTTATCTTCTCTTTATTTACAGTTAAAAAAAGAATGAAGAGTTTTAAGACGTCTGAAATAATTGTGATATACGAAAAATTTCCATCTTCTTCTACAAATATCTAGTTGAGTTGGTAAAGAAAAAATGTCGGTAAAAACATAATGAACTTACATATCATATTCAACAAGTATAAAATTCGATAAGGAAGGCATGTGAAGAATGTCCATAAGGTACTGGAGAATAGGAAAAACAGTCGATGAAATAGTTTCTAAATATAGATATTTCGTTCATGAACTACGAGAATAATGCTTTCTTGTTCGTGCTTCCTTTGCTTATTGTCGTTTCAGTCCATTTGTGTATTACTCCAATAAATTAAATCAAACGAGATGTTTCAATTGAGCAAATTTTAGTAGAATTGGTCTAACCCTAGTTGGAAAAATCCAGTAATAAAAAGGCTTTAGAAACCTGCTAGAGGCAGAAATTCATTTTTTAACTCTTTATACTTGAGATCCTCCAAATGGTTCATTGCTTTATCGTGGTTGAGGGGTATTCCTGGGATTCGGGCTGGCTGCGATATACATCGATGGGATTCACCCCTAACGTAGGGGTCTCCCAAGCTGAGAAGGAGTCTTGCGCCTCCACCAGGAAGCCTAGCTAAGAGTAAACCAATACTAGGAACTACGACTGTCCTGGTATTAAAGTCGCATAGTGGCAAATCTCCCCCTGTTCTACAAGGGCTGCGACTGCCCGTGGTGGTGAAGACCTGGGACAGACTTTGATCTGGCCGACCTCGTGACTCTAGGGAACTACGATGGCTAAACTAGCAAAACTCCGTAAAAATGGACATTATGCTGGCATCCGCACAATCAACGAGGATGGCTAGGATATCCAAGTATTTCAGCAAGTATATTTGTGATTAACATAGACGAAGACGGGACCTGCTTGAGAAATAGGTACTGAAATTTTTATTGGAATGATCGAAGATTAATGTCGCAATTGAGAATGGAATACTTTGCTGCCTCAAGAGCTTCATAAGCACACTGTTTAATCCTTAGGGGTATAAAATGTAGAACGGAGTGCTGCAGATCATTAGTTAAGCTCGGACCAAACGCAACCATATTCCCCTTTTGACAAACAAATGGACTGAGAAAAAGGTCTTTCTGTCGCATTCATTTATATTTTCGGTATAAACGCAATCACATTCATATTATGTGGTAAAGATGCTTGGAATTTTAACTTGCACACTGGTTCAGAGCTCAATGAAGCATTAAAATCGGTTCCATGTGTCCATTGAGGAATAAACCTCCTTTTTCTCAGTGCGAGCTTGAAAAATGGTTGCGGTAAAATGATTTCTCAATGAATGCTTACTTCTGAGACTCTATGGTGTTGGAGATTTCTGAGTAAATTATTATGTTGGAAAGAAGAACAATAGTTGACTTGCTTTCTACACCAATTTCCTAGACAGTTTCCATAATAAATAGTTATAGCTTAAATTGTTTGTGAGTGTCATTTAAAAGGTTTCTTGTTGTTCAACTAATAACCGCTCAATTGTATTCTAACAGATAATTAAAATTCTGCACATATTAATACACAAATAATTTTAATTCGCAGCAAATTCGGGCAGATTAAAACGATGCCTGCACACGTAGAAATTCGTTTGGTTGTTCTTCATTAGTTAGAGTTTTGACGTACGTGGATACTTGGATAGCCCGTGTTCACTAGTCGTGAAGGCCGCAGGCGAGTTTCCTTTCTTCTGGAGCCCCGAAAACAGCCTGGCCAAAGTTTGCCACAGGTCGTCACCACCACAGGCAGTCGCTGCCCTTTGCGGATCAGAGCAAGATCTGCCACCATGCGACTTCTTCGATACCATGATTCTAGCATTGGTTTACTCCTAATTGGGCTTTCTTATTAAAACGACAGACTTCCTCTAAGGTTGGGAGACCCCGATGGAGAGAAAAATTTCCTCATTAGTGCAGCACGACACCGAGGAAGACCTCCCAACCACCATTAGGCGATAAACCGTTGTGACGAGAATTTAGACGTACCATAGAGAAAATAATATGGAACATCATTAAGGCATTGGGCAGCAAAGCGTTTCAGAATTGCGATGAGCAGTTGATTTGAAACGATATCCAGCCATGTTTAGAGCAGTGGTTTGGCATGATAGTGTCCAAAACCCCTTCGGCACGATGTAATTCCATCAAAAAAAGTAACCTTGTTTGACAGCCTGTAGCCAGACTAATCCACTGTAAATTTACGAATCCTAGATGGACCATTACAGCAATGCTATCACTAAATCGATTAATGCGTGAAAAATATTGCTCAAATAAAATGAAAACTCCTAACTATACGTTGCACAACTAGCTTTGAGCTTTGCCACATCATGTGTAGTCATTGGAACTCTCTTCCACCGGCTATCACATTTAGATCTTTTATTATAGACTTGTAACTCATCTATGGATTTCTTGGAGGTGTTTCTGCGAAGGAATATTTGAATGCGAGTGGGTTGAAATTAGATTCTTTTGCAGAAGTTCGAATTCAATTTAAAATAGTTTGAAACTGTATACCCACTTTTTCTAAAACTAGGTGGTCACTGTTGTTTTGTGTGAACCTAATAGGGCATAGAAATATTATACTAAACACCATAGTGATTTTATGAATTATAAAGGAGAGCTTCTTTTCTGCTCTCTTATTTGATGTTATGCTTAACACGGAGAAAGGATAAAGCTTTCGGTGTTGATCAATCCCTGAGGGATGCGAAATGCATCCATTTTCATTGTAATCCGTTGGGCTTGATTGAATGCATACCAGGTCTCCAAAACGACTCACGGTGGCCTATCAATATATCCACCCAGTGCTGCTATCCACCCAGACAAGTCTGGTACCAATTTGCCAACGCCCGAAGGATGGAGGGCTTGGTGGGCCACGGGTGTGGAGATCGACTCCACGTATGTGTTGCAAGACGCCTCCGACCACTGCGTTACACTCGCCATAAAAAATAAACTTTATAGTGTTATGCTTTGTAAAATTGCAGTAGTAATGTTACCGTTCTTTGTCGTGCTTCAGACTTTGTTGATGCACGCGCTATGAAGTAGATGATAGCCGAAATAATAAACGACGTTAAAATCATGAGAACGTACAGTATGCAAATAGGCATGTATATGTACGGATTAATCAACACACGTTCGCATCCTCCCTGAAATGAACTAACGAAATTCTCTTTTTTAAAAAGATTGCTATATGGTATATAGAATTGTACTTTCCAGCTGTGTTTTATATGAATCTTTCTTGGATTTGCGTAATCAGAAAAGCTATATACTATACTATATAAATTCTGTATCTTTATCGAGATGGTATTAAGGAAAGGATCAGTAAATAACTAAGGATTCAGTACAACAGACCGCATATACCTACTCCGCATGACATGTTTCTCATTGATGCAATACCAAGGCACAAGACACTGCTCCGTTGCAGTGGTAAAAAAATCTGTTAAGAAGGAAGTGGTGATGGAAGCTCCTGACAACAAGGCTGTTGCTATTTGGCATACAAAGATCCTTTGTGAGCTGTATAACAATTTCGTAAACAGAAAATCAACATTGGACAACGAGATTACTTGATACCTGATACTTTAATGGCATGTCCTCACTGGTTGTGCAGGCCCCAGCATAATCTCTGTTTTTCGGAGATTTGATGGTTAAGCCAGTATGGTTCGCTGGAGTCCCGAGGTCAGCATGGCCAAAGTCTGCTCCAGTGTCCCAGGTCGTCACAACCACAGGCAGTCGCAGCCCTTGTGGATCAGAGGGAGATTTGCCACTATGCGACTTTGATAACAAGACGGTGGTGGATCCTGGTATTGGTTTACTCTTAACTAGGCTTCCTGATGGAAACGCCGGACTCCTCAGCTTGCGAGACCCTGCCAGGGGATGAATCCTCCGCTGTACATCGCAGTCCGACGCACAGGAACACTCCCAGCCACGATGAAGCGGTAAACCTTTGGGAGGGAAAAATGAGATTAAGACAGATAAAGAGAGAGGTTTTTGACAAGGCGATGTCATCTCACCAAAGTTACAGCTATCATAGAGATTGTCGAGCAGAAACGTGTGAGCACTGGAACGAGATAATACGGAAGTGGAAGTGGATAGTCAGCAACAGCACCATCCTTGCTTTACTGATGACATTGCTTCCACAACAACAAGCACTATCCATGTTAAACGAATGTTGTCCAACTTTTATAAAACTTGTGGATAAATTAGTTTTTAACTAATTCTTAGAAAGTCGATGTTCATGGTAAGCAGATTAGCTATCTGGTTACTAAGTGGTGCTTAACAAGTTTAATATTTCGAAATTTTCCGCTTTGTATATCACAGTCACGAGGTGGAAATTATGAACAGAAGCTACAAAGCCAAAAAGGAAGAAAGGAGTAGAATAGGAAGCAGTTAAGAGCAACAGGAATCTGGTCAGAAAACTAACACAGATCGTGCTAGCAATTTTGTGTCTACGATTCTCTCTGACAAAACATACGGGTCGGGAGCCTATCTACTACATAAGCTTTATGAAACATCACTCAGTGGTATCAAAAGTATAGTCGGGTTTACTTTGTTGGGTTCAGTCTGCATTATGCAAACGATAGAGGGCTTATGATTCTCCAACCCATGTCAGCTATTAAAAATCGGAGGTGCAGTTAAACATGCCAAAATATTGAAAATATGGTGGGTGGTCGGGCGTATTATACATATGAATGCCAACCAGTGAACAGAAGTTGTTAGAAAATAATTCTCATAAAATTTCAACCGTTTATTGGAAAAACCGCTTATGGTAAAAATAATTTAGGAAGAGCCTACAAGAGAATTATGACAATGAGCGAGCCACTCGAGTAAACAGAAAATACTGGGCTGCTCACTCTCGTACACGACATGAACAGATGGAGACTTCTCTGTCGGCAGCCCAGGTCAGTGGGAGGAGAGGTGGCATTTGTTATACTGATGGTAACATATTAAGAATTTTACAGCATGTTAGGTACCCCTAAATTTAGAATTGCTGCTGAACTGTTTTTTGACTTGAACTGAACACTTATTTCAGCTAAACATTATGTTTCTCAACACAGATGTAGAAGAAATTATAATCGGTCTCTTAAAATAATGCATGAAGCAAACTTTGGAAGGCTATTAAAACTTTCGTATTCAAAATATTTATTTGTCACTTGTATTTGGTTCCTACTGTTAGGTCATGGATTTTCAGCATGAAAGCAGGAAATATTGTTGCTAATCCTAGTGTATTCATATGAGGGGCACTTCATTGGTGGGATATTTCACTCCATTCCGAACTCAGTAGGACAATGAAGGGCCACATCGGATGAACTAACTGCTCAATACTTGATTTGGATCACTACGGCTGAAAAAAATGCGCTAGCACAAAAACGTTAGTGAAAATGAAGTATTATAACAACCTTGTGTGAGTTTTTAGAACTTCCATACCTGAGTTATAGGATTGCAAGCAGATACTTTGACTGAACTGAATGCTAGTCTGTTTCATAAGAAGGAAACTTGTTTTGTTTTAACGGACACTTGGAAAACTCACCGATATGTTCATAAAAGAGTCGACGGCGAAAGCAATGTAACCAAGAATAATCCATGTTACTGCTGACACGATGAAAACTTTCCGCCTATTGACTATTGAGTAGTAATGAAGAGGAAATTGTATAAATATAAGTTTGTCAACATTGAGCCTAAATAATATTGCAGAGTCTTATCATTGTACTTGAATAAATTAATACATACATACTCTCTTTAACCAGAAGCAGTAGCAATAATGTACTTCATGCTAAACGTTTGATGGTCCTCGTGCCCGTCGAGGAAGCGTGACTCAGTGGGCAGTACTGACGTGCGACGAAGACGAGCGAAAACTTTAGTGGTTCATACTTAAGTTAATTGATAAATAACGAAGTTACTAGTGGTACAGGTAATAACGGTGTTTGTTAACAGTGGGTGTTAGAATGTTCAAAATTTCTCTGGGCTATTTACCTTTTTTGTATTCATAATTATAGGAACATTGCGATACACACTGGACCGCTCTCTAGTTCTAAACCACGTTCCGGTCTCACTGAGCCTTCCATCTCTACGGAGTCGAGAAATCGGTACTTACTTGTAGGTAGCAGTATTGGTTTAACACATCAGTAGGACTACTTATTCACTAAGTTACTGTATAAATCAAACATGCAATAAATCATCTAAACGAAGCGATGAATAGAGTTAAATGTGTTGCGCATCCTTCAGAGCAACGCCTAACTCTTTTTCTTCTGTCCTTTTACGCCTAATCTGTTCTATAAACCCTATTTTTAAACGAAGGCGGACTAAATCTACAGAAAATGCAAATTTCCTATATGAACAAGGGAGATTGAACGCCTTTCAGTTTCTTCGCAGCATCTGAACTCTTTTTTGCAACAGTTATCGGAAAAGGAAATTCAATAGGGTTTGACAGTGGCAACCAGATCTTCAAACTCACTTTACAAACCCATTTATTTTTATTTAAAAAATTCAGTTTTCTTGTCTGTAACTGTGCAGTGGCTACAAGAGCTCATCTTGGAAGTGAAAAGAAAACGATGAATTTGTAGCAGAGATATCATGCTCACCAGACTAAATTGAGGCAGCTGACAAGCTGAATTGTCCATATCGTGATGTAGTAGGGATGACAAATAAAGTTCGGGAAGAAATTCAAATATGGCCTCGTCAGCATGTAGCACAAACACATGAGGAGATCGGCAAATGTCATGTTAATGACGATGATCTGAATAGTGAGAATATTGGCCAACAGCACTACAAAAGTGATAATCTTACATTTTTCAACGGCTTTCGATTCCCATTTCTGAAGAGTGTTACATTGGAAAGCCTATTTTATTGCAGATAGCAGTTTGTAAAAACAATGCCGATTCAGTTGAAAATTGTGCACTGATCATTTCTCATCCTACTGCAATTCACAATACAAAACACCAAGTCGTCAAGATTTGGTACGATGGTGATCGCTAGGTGGAGGCGTTCAATTGGCCTCAGTGATCTTCCATTTTGCACAATCTGAAGACCAATGGAAAAGGAGTATACTCGCAAGCGTTTATAATTGCGTTCTCATCATCTATAATATTCATGAACCATTTCTAAATTGATTTCAGTAAGAAAGCTCAACAGTGAGCATTGCGTATGTAGATACCGCAATGTACTGCTTGTTCCCAAGATCGACTTTCTGTTAACTTCGGCATTGGATTGGAATAAATACGTCGTTTTCTTTTTCAGCAATCGCGAGGTGGTTATACAGCACATATTTACTTCCGTACAAAAACACATAATACAGAAGTAGCTGATGTTTCCATAGCATCACTTCTTCAGAGCCGTTTTCCACGTCTACCATGAAGGAAGAGTGAAGAAGGCAATAATGCTAAAACGCCAGCTGTTTGTGAAAAAAAAACAGTTGCATTGTGTGTCTTTCTGCCGAAGCAAATGTATGCTGTATAACAATCTCATGTGTGCTGTCTGTTTCTTAACAAGAAACACCAATTATCTAAAAAAACAAGAATGAGAAGTGTTTTGCATCGCATCTATTCTGCGAGGCGTAAATATTTCATGTTAGGTCTGGATAACATCGAGACGTTCAGTTTAGCTTGCCATTGTGTTAATAACGGCCGACAAAACCATGCTTGGGCAACTAGTCGCTTCAACAGCGCACTATGATTTTCAGCTCGATTCTCGAAAAGAACGCTCTTCAACGAGTATTAATTGATTTCGAAAAATTTGGCAATGTTTAATCACTAGTTCTTACAATGTCCATAACTTCCGTTCACCAGGCATTACCATTAATGTCGAATTCAGCTGTTCATTAAAAAATAAGGTTTGAATAGCCAACCTGTCGTGGTTTATCGTCTGTATCGATATGGACGAGAGCGATCCACAACACGATACAGTTGAATAAGGAACCGATGGCCCCATTACTCAGGTAGAATACAATTTCTGCCAAGGTAAACTGGTCCAGAGCAGCGATGTCATTTGTATCATTCATCGTTCTGAATTCTCGAGCTTGAAGATATTCGTAGGAGAGTTCAAGGCGAAAAGTAATGCATTTTAGGAAGCTTCGTTTGTGAGATAAGCGATTAGACGGAGAGGCCTCTACTCCATAACTAAACTCAATAGGCGTGTCCTTGAGTCCATAATTGCAATACAAGAGCAGATCTTTCTCAAACACCAATGCATTCATCCTCAAGTTTGATGATATTATCAACGCACTTCTTTCCAACTTTTTTTAAATATAATTTTTTTCTATTTTAGGGTCTCAAAAATGACTGATCAGTTAAAACTGTGTTAATGGCGAAGTGTTAAGCCGTTATTATACACCCACAATTCCTATTCATACACTGAAACTTTTTTTAACGCAACAGAAGAACGAAAAGATAAGGAAATAAAGGCATTTGGTTATTTTGAAAATATTAAATTGAAAATTCAAAAAAATATACCACAAGAGATAAATAAATGATAAATAAATAATGAATAATAAATAAATAATATAATATAGAAGTACTACATTCACTTGAATTGAAATATCGATCTAGAGCTCTACTAAAAAACTTTCAAAGTGCATTGCAGTTTCTTAGCCATAACAAGTTTTAAAATAGTAATATTTAACCCTTGAAATACTTTTAGCGAGGAAAAAACTTGGATTTTTTATATTGACACATTATTCTTGAGCTGAAGATACAACGGATAACAAACGTGGAAGGAATCTTCATCGTGGTAATATACAACGAAACAGCAAGAAGGTTACATGTGAAGGAGAACCGTTTCGAAATATTGCAGCTGAATCGCAGCTTAAGCACAAACATTTGATGTCGATAAGGGACAGAGAAACGCGTCTTGTGCGGCTTTCTTCAGCAGGAAGAGAACTCCTATTCGGCATTCGATATCAAGGATGTGGATGAGCGAGGTAGAATACACTTTACGAAATGGAGAGCTGACAAAATTATTCTGACAGCAAAAAATAACGTAGGAAATTTTAAAATTACAAGGTACTGTGCAACGAACAGATGTTAAATATAACTCAAGCCGAATGTCTCGGGTTGGCTCTATTTTTTAAATATTTTTCATTTGTTTGTAGTTTTAAACTTACAAAAAAACTTAGTGCGTGTGTAAATTTTCTGTTAGTTTGCAGTCTAGAACAAAACTATTAACACTATTAATATTATTAATATTTTTACTACCAACTACGTTGTTACTACTCAAAGGCTAGAATTCACTGATATTTCGATTATTGCTAAAAACGATGATATTGTTACTAATAATATTATTACTGGTATCACCTCCACTTGTGTAGAGCGTGTGTAGAGCAGTGGTTAATGGTCCCTGCAATACCCATGGGAGCGACCTACGCGACGCAGGTTAACCAAGCCCTCCTTCTTTCCAGGGTCGGCAAATTGTTATCAAACTTGTACGGGAGGATAGCAGCAGTAGCTCGATACATCGGTAGACCACCGCGAGTCATTGTATAGGCCAGATATGCATTCAGTCACCTCTAATGATGCTTAATGAAGTCGAATGCATGGCGTATTCCTCAGGAATTGATCGACGTCGACAGCTCCAACTTTTTTGTTTATTTTAGTTCACAGCCCTAATATTTAGGCATTTCCGTTGTATGGATTCGAATGCCTTTCTTATTACAAGCGAAATCGATAAATTTGATTGGACGCTTTTGACCTGAAGAAATTTCGTAAGTGATAGAAGAACCCACAAACCAGTTAAGCAAGACATGAATCAGCGGCTTCTCACAACGAGTAGTGGGCTTGCAATCCGTGAATGATTGTATAAAAAGAAGTGCCTGGTGAACATTCATCATAAACGAAGTAAAGATTTTTTTACAGAGTGGTACATGCAGTAGTAAGTAATGCAAACTTTCAAACGTTCCCGAATGCTCCGCCTCATACTCTTCTCGAGGTGAATCTCGCCTTTACATGAGCATTTTGCGTAAAAGTTACATTTATCTTACAGAAAAAACTGCCAAGTATGAGCTATTTAATAACTGGAGTAAACTAAGCTTAGACGGGACGGACGCTTCGAAACAACATCTTGGGTAGAGCAATAGTCGTCAGAATTTGGGTTTCAGATGAGATTAATCTAACACCTGATGGGCAATTGAACCACTGCTTCACATGGATTCTGAATGGGAAATGTTGCACTTTGCTTAACTCTCAAGCGACTTAGATCTACTGTATATGTAGTTGTAGAATGTAGAAATATAAAGAAATGTCGACTTTACCGGATCCCTGACAAATAGGACTGAGGAAATGGGAAATAAATATGGTAGCGATGAGATACAAACTTGTTCAAGAAATGATGGCTTTCGAGAGAATTTCGATAAAAATTAGAAACGTTAAAAAAAATAAGATAACGTGATAACTTGTGTTTGGAAGAAGAGTCTAATTTTAGGGCCATAAGCTATATTGCACATGAGTGGTTGTGTAGAGAACGCACGATAAAACTGCGCTCTTAATTGAAACAGGATGCGTTCGGCTGCTGAAATCCAAGGCGGATTTATTTGATTCACTTGATAAGTCATCAACCAACTATCTCGACGTACCTGATTTCTGCAGAGTGTAATGTTAACATATAACAACGATGGAAATGCACATTTTATTTTTTGTTTCCTTTCTAATATAAAAAATGGCACTGTATAGTGAGATGCTCCAAGGTTTTATTACTTAGAGGGAAAGAAGCACAACCTTGAGCATTCGGTAGTAAAGAAGAAGGGAAGCAAAACTTCGAAACTTGAATTCCATATCCCAACCATCACTCTGAACTGGTTCATGCTTCGAACACCATCTTCCACTACTCCAATATTTTCTATTAAATTAGCAACTTGCGATTAAATAATTTGGTTGTCCAGGAAATAATTCCTGGACAAACATTTAAAAGAATAAAAAGGTTTTTAACTTTTATACACATAATCCAGCTACTGGTAAACTGCAGTGACAAAAAAAACAGAATCTACAAGTGTATGCTTGTTAGATAAAAGCTCGAAAATCGCCAACATTCCAGGTTTCTAGACCCTGTAAATCATATAAAGCAAAAGCTCGTTCTTGAAAAATTTTTCAAAAAGTAATCATCGGGATTTCTGGAAATGCAGGGTGAGTCAGAGGGTGAGTGTACTGGGTCAAATGAAGGTTTGTATCGTAGCCCTCCAACACTCTCGCGACGAACCCTAGTTTCGCGGTTACGTGGCGTATGATCGAAAGTAGTCGTTTAGCGTGACTAATTTCTTTCAAATGTTCCCTACCAGTTTCAGACGTAGTTTTCACCGCATTTTTTCGAATTTCTGTTAGTAATTTTTGCAAAAGTCCCACTAAGATTCAACTTTGTATGTTGGGCTATTGTGCAACCATTGGCACTATTTCCTCGGGCATTGCAAAGAACCCTTCGGGTCTATAAAACCCATTTTTTGTCTTATTTTACCAGAGTTCTTACAGAGCAGCTCGCTTATATTTAAAAGTGTAGCACAAAAAATAGATTTAATGATCACGGGCTCTTGATTCTTTCTTAAACTCTCACTGCACTCTTTTGGCGAGATGACCAGAACAGCATCATCTCCTCGTAGTAACTACGTGAATACTTGGACGGCCCGTCTTCACTAGTTTTGCAAGCCCCAGTACAATCTCCATTCTTCGGGATTTGGTGGTTTAGCCAATGTGTTACCTTAGAGTCCCGAGGTGAGCCTGGCCAAAGTCTGCCTCGGGTCGTCACCACCATAGGCAGCCACAGCCCTCGTGGATCACAGGAGATTTGCCACCACGCGACTAGTTTAACACCAGGATCGTGGCGATTCCTTGCACCGCTTTACCATAAGTTGGGTGCAAGGAGATGAGTCCCCCTGTTGTACATCGCAGCCCAATACCCAAGAACACCTCCGTAATACAATGAGGCGGTAAACCGCTGGGAGGATCTGGCATAGTTCACCCGAAAAGTTTCAAACAGCACGTACAATATGGATAAGTTTCGGTTAACATTTTTAACACAGGAACTGAGGCAACTAATCGGTCTACATCAGCTTAGATCATGAAAATTTCTGAAATGCCATTAGTACTGCTCGTCTGTTAACTGTTTCCAGAATAAAAGCAGCGTTTGCATTATGAGCACTTTCTGCGACCTCACATACAAATTTGAATTTGTGCATAAGAATGCTGAAACTTTCTTATTTTCCATTTTTTTGCCTTTAGGAACTCAAAACGTAAACTGACACAGTTTTGTTGTAAAAAACATCAAAAGAGAGATATGAAAGAATGATTGTATGGAATTCTGTATATGTACCGCCCTAATACATAGTGAACGGTGTGCATTCTAAAGAAATAAAGTGGTGTTTCCGTCAGCCCGTATGAGCTGTATAGAAGTCACCTTGTTTCTCATGGTTTATTTTGGCGCATGAAGCTTTTCTCTTATATTTATCTTTCCTAAATGACGTCCATTTTCGGTAAACCAGTACGTCGACGCCCATAGCTGCTGAATATTACGCGCCGTCCGCTGCAGCCGGGACACTAAAAGCCAAATTGACAATGCTCTCGCTATCATTACAGTATTTGAAGGGTCACAAAGTACATACGATTTTTACACTTTGATTTATCACAGTAAAGACATGTGTAAATCCTGTAAAATTCTCCTCCAGTTTTAGGCACCTTAAAATCTAATTTTTTAGAACTATTGCAAACGAGATTTTTTTTCTTTTGGAATTTCCAATGAAAGCGAGACAGATATAAAGGCAAAATATACATTGAGAAGCACCATCACTGCGTTTTGTGACGCAAAAAAACCAAATGCGGCCAACAGCCCCTTATCGGATGCATCGTATCAATATATATCACAAAGTATAGGGCTTTATTTAAGAACTATCCGTAAAATATCGAAGAATCAAACACAAAAGTAGTTTCCAGATAGCAAGTGCGAAAATATCATCAATACCATTTAGCACATAACGGAGGCTGTGAATTCTGTACAATCGTCTGCTGTACACCGAGCGACAATTAG